TTACATATATAATTCCAGAATTTAAATATATTAGCAATGTAATTTGCAGAAGTGGTTCAAAAGTAACTGAAAGGAGCTTCACTGCATCATTATTTTAGGCAAACCTAAAATGGACCTCACAGGGTTAAACGACTCACTCTCTTTCACTCTGGTTTTACCAAACAGGCCCTGCCTATTCCCCCTTTTCCCCCCTCGTTTACTTCTAAATAATTCCTCGTGTTCCAAATATCAATGATGTCCTTTGTTAAGATCCTACATTTGACCACAATATCACGTGATTCAGCCTAATCTGCACCAGATAATGAGTCATAGCAGAATTATGTGTAAACGTTATTCAGAGGAGGCATCTTTCTTTAATCAGTGTGAATTTCCTGCATAAACAAATACCACTGCAGTCTCAGACGTAACATTTTGTTTTCCTTCTGTCTCCCTAAACTAGCCCTAATCATGTCTGACATCCAGAAGGCTATGGCCCTGCTAATCAGCACCTTTGATAAATACTCTGGCAAGGAGGGAGACAAAAACACCCTAAGCAAGGAAGAGCTGAAGGATCTTCTTCAAAATGAGTTTGGAGAAATGCTTTGCGTAAGTGGTCTCTATCCTCCCTCTATCTCACACCCAGTAGGTTGCCTGAAAACACTGGTAAACTGATGCAGAGCTTTTACTTTGAGAGAGTGGAAAATACACAGATTTTCCACTGTGGTTTGCGTAACTATTTGAGCAGAAGTAGGCTGAGCAGTTCTTTGTTTTATGATCACTTAGTGTCTAAATTCAAGCTAACACTTTTCTCCACTGCAGAAATCCAATGACAAGGCAGCAATAGACCGCATCTTCAATGATCTGGACAGAGACAAGAGCAATAGTGTGGATTTTGGTGAGTTTGTCAGGATGGTCTGCTGCCTCACTGAGATGTGCCACGAGTACTTCGTCTCCAAAAAATAAGGATCCGAGCGCCACCTTGCGGCCAACTGAGAGAGCTGCCATTCGGTGACAGGAAGTGTCCCTTGACAGCTGTTTTGAAGAAGATATAAACACAAATATATGACAGTGAATTCAAACTTGTACTGAAATCCAAAATGAAATAAATCTTTTTTTTCTCTCTCTGAAAGACTAGAGTTGCATTTTGTGCATTCTTTAACTGGGAGAACTATTTGTTCCAGTATTGAGCAATTGCAGAATCTTTGGAAGGCTTATGATAACAAGAATGTTTGCCTCGAAAATCAAAATGTTTCTATCAGCAGAGTTCATGCTTTGCAGCTGAAGTATCGTCTAAGTTTCCTAAAGTGTCTACAGGAAAGGAGCAATACCACTGCAAGTTCTGACAGGAAGGATGTCACCAACGCTGACAGAGATGCAGAACTGAAAATATCTACCAGAGCAGGCTTTTTGAAGTTGCACTGAAGAAACTTTTGAAAGAAGCAAGAACACAAGCCTGATCTCACTAATAAAAAGTGAACTTCTTAAGCAAAACATCCTTATATCATACATCCTTAAATTTAACATACTCTGGGTTTCAGTTTGGCAAAACACATGTTGCATGAAGTTACTTTAATACTAGCAACTCATTTGAGCCCCAAGCCTTGAATCATTTGGGGTCTCAGAAAACTTTAGGTTTGTTTTTTAGGGGTTTTTTTTCCTTCTGAAGCTTTAATAGTCTGAGGGCCTAAAGTGATGTTACGATTCCCATGGCCATTGTTGAATCAGTTTATTGACTTTATGACACGTTTCTGCTTGTGTTGCTATTATGTTACATTTTAGCCAACTCCATTACCCTGTAATTGTAGTTTAAAGTCACATATTCTTGCTTTAACTCAGGTTTCAACGTAGTCTGCAATAACTTTACAGAGACACAGCAGGTAAAATAAGTACAGAGCACATCCCCGGTTTTCTAAGTAAATATATTTCTAAAGGCGTTTTTCTGCCCACCAGATGTTGGTAACAACCCATTCAGTTCACATGCGCAACAAAAAAAAAATCACACGATGAATTAAGATATGTGTAATATTCAGAAATGACACAGGGAGGAAGTATTGAATGCATGAAGAAACATTTCATGTGTGGATGTGATCGGTTGTTACTGACATCTGGTGAGAATTTCACATCAATAACACCTTTAGAAATATGTTTACTTAGAAAAGTGGTGACGTGTTCAACACCTATTTTAACCACTGTACTTTTTTGATTGTTTGAATTAGCTACGCTGCCTTGGTCACTAGTTATTCTGCAAAAATAGGGTGCTGTGCAAAAGTCTTAAGTCAACCTCCATTTCTTCATATTTTGCTTCCAAACAGCCAGACTTTTTTCAGTCTTGAACAATAGTGCTTCAGACTTTCTGAAAGTGTCCCTACCCTTTGAGTGGCTCCAAAGCCTCATTAGAAATATTCTCAGTGGAAGGAAGCTATAAAGAAGTCATTCTTAAGATAGGAAAACAAGGAGAAAAGACTGCTATGTACTAAATTACACAAATATTAGAGGGGGAAGGTATATTGCAACAAAACTGTGATGGACAATAGAGAGAAAAACAACACACAAAATGTTTTTAATGTTATTAAAGAGACCTGGAGAGCTAATCCTGAAGACTACTTAAAGAATTGACTAGAAAGCTTCCCTAATATGCCAAAGAATAAAGGTGGTCATACCAAAGGGTTTTTTTTATCATTCAAACTCTGTTTTTGTTGTATGTGATGTATTGTCTTAGAAAAAACATAAAGGACATGGACATACAGCACATGACTCCACATGACACATTGCATGTGTAACATTTAAGTAACTCCTGTAAGACTGAGAATAAATTAATACTTGGGGCATAATATAGCATTCCTGTTTATTTCATAGCTTTTGTTTCATAGTTGCATAGTGTGTGTTGCACTGCTGCATATTCAAACCCATGATTCAGTATTTGTAAAACCACATTTAGCAGCAATAACTTGAAGTAATCACTTTATCTATTTAGTATGACTTCATCGGTTTCTTGCACTGCTGGAGGAATTTTGGCCTACTCATCTTTACAATGTTGCTTCAGTGCATTGAGGTTTGTGGGCATTTATTTTTGCACAGCCTTCTTAAAGTGCCACTACAATATTTTAATCTGGCTGAGATCTGGACTTTGACTGTGTCATTGTAACACTTTGAGTCTTTTCTTTTTCATTTATTCTGTTGGAGATTTGCTGCTGTTCTTACATTTATTGTCCTGTTGCATGATCCAGTTTCAGCCAAGCTTCAGCTGTCAGACAATTGGCTTCACAATTGACTCGAGAATACTTTGGTATACAGACGAGTTCTTAGTCAACTTAATGACTGCAAGGTGGCCAAGTCTTGTGGCTGTAAAACAAGCCCAATCACAATCATCACAATCAGTGGTTATGCA